ATTTTATTTTTAATTAACTTTTGAAGAAAGAAACATGTAAGAAAACAATTGAATCTTGCACATTTTCATTGCACCTTATCATCTTGCTTTACTTGCCCACTATTTACAAATTTTTCTTTTAAAGAATTTATTTTGAATAAAGACAGCTTCAGTACTTACCTTAGTGTGTTTAGATAGCATTTATTGTTCAAATCTTATTGTACATCATAAATAAGACCTGCAGTATAATTCTGGGTAGGACTGGTACGAAAAAAATATCCTTGCCTTGCTCTTGATCTTAGGAAAAATATCTACAAGAATTTCACTGTGCATAACACTGTATTAAATATGATATAACCATAGTTTTCATAGATGTGCTTTATCAAATTGAGAAATTTTCCCTTCTTTTCATTGATCCCTGGAAGTTTTCATCATGTGTGGATATTGGAGTGCACAAATTGTTCTATTTTGTCAGTTGAAATATTTCTATGACTTTTATTCCTTCCTTTATTTCTTCCTCCTTCATTCCTTCTTTTCTTTGTTCCTTCCTTCCATTTCTCCTTCCTCTCTTCTGTGCTGGAGATTAAACACAGGCAGGGCCTTGCACATACCAGACAAGTTACTAACACTCAGCCACATCCCCCCAATTCCCTGAGTTTTATTCTTTGGACTTTTAATATGGTGATTACATTTATGGGTATTCAAAATATTTGCATATTTTAAAAATCCCACTTTGGGGCAGAAGTTAATCTTTTATACCTTGACAGTTTTCATTGGAAACTATTGTGTTGAAAATTTGGACCTTCATGTTCCTAAAAGACATCTATTTGTAAGTTTTTCCTTTTGCGTGTCTTACCCTGTTTATGATATAAACATGATACTAGCCCTATAGAATAGGTTGAGAAATATTCTTTTTTGGAATTCCTTAAATTTTGCTTAAAGAGACTATCTTGCAGTTCCTTCAACTATAGACTCCCTTGCTTCTTTGCATTATTTAAATTCTTTGCTTTTGATTCCAATTTACAGGATTAGAGTACCCAGTTGGCTAAGTCCTGATCCTTCTTCAAAGTCCCGTCTGCAAATGTTCACAAGAGTTATGAAACCCACTTGTCACCAATGTCCAAACCCCATTTGTGGTAATTCAACTTTTTCCTAAGATCAGAAGTTTAATGAAGATACTGAAGGGACCTGAGTCATGGAGGAACGACACTGTCAAGGAGGTATTTGTAGAACACAGACCCACCTAGTGCTTTATGGTAAATCAATTCATACACACATGATTGCTTGTGACCCCAAAATACTTTTTCCTTTACTACCCATATTTAATTAAGGCAAAATCATTTATAGTTCTCAGTAAAATAGAGTCAGGGCCAGTATTGTTCCTAGTTAGTTTTCATCTCCTCTAAAGAGAGACATCTTCTCCTCAAGACAGTGTCCTAGAGTTGGTCCTCAGAGAAACGCCAACCTTTATGGAAGCTGACGACACTCCCGTGGCTTTCTCACACTCTCCGTGTGCAGCGCTGGCACAGGCTCTCCTTGATATCTCGTTTCTCTCTGCAAAATAAATATCAACATGGTAATTTCATGCCTTCTCATGAGAGATGCAGAATTATGTTTCTAATAAGAAATTGCTATTAAGGAACAAGTCAACAGAACCCTCTAATAACAGAAATAAAATGGTGCATAATGTAGCAGACCTAAAATACCCAAAAATTATTTTATGTGATAGAAAATAGCACGTTTCTCTGGTGAGCTGTGAGAAGAAAAATAAGAGCTTGGGAGAGCTTCCGGGTTTTTTTTTTTTTTCTTCACTGCAGAACTGAGTAGGAAATAGTTCCAATGACCTAGCATGTGACAAGTTCACAGTTATTACTCAAATTAAAGTGAGCTTCTGGAGCTTGTCATGTGTGCAAGCCTGACATTGGTAGAAATGACAGCGTGTCAGTGAAAAAGCTTTTAACACGTTGTCAGTGATAACTAAATGCGAAATGTGAGACTTCCCACTACTCTGCTGAGCGAATTTTTATGGAAAACTGATGGATGGTTATATTAATTTTGAGGGTGAAGAATATAGTATGTCCTTAGTGTATTTTGCTTCAGTGTTCCTTGTGCTGTTTTTCTGCAAAATAACCAAGTTACATGTTCACAGAAATGCGTAATTTTTTTCATAATTTTTATACTATATAATATCACAATATTATACAATACTGGACCAGTTATAAGCCCAATGACAAGAAGAGTAGAAAATAACATTTAGACAAAAGCAAATCCAACATAAAGTGTCTTATGATGAGAGAAATGTAGCTAATATAATCCGTTAAATTTTTTCAGAGGCCAACATTACAGGTACTAGTTTCTCATTCATAGTCAAATCCACAGTTCTCAAGCTGACCCACTGAAGACCATACCATGCCATGATACTCAACGGCTTAAATGGAAGCACTGAATTGTGTCCCTGAGCTGTCAAGTAAGAGAAAGATATTTCTTTGCTGGACTGTAAGAGATCCTACAAAGAGGCCCAATCAGACTCAAAACTGTGGGGATAACTACACTGATATTTTCACCAGACTGAACTATAGTCCTGAATGTAAAGCAATAAAGGACAGAATATGTAAAGAAGAATGTATAATACACATAAATCTCTTTGACTTTAAATCTCAAAGTGATGACATTGGGCAGAACATGATTTGTTTACCAAGCTGCTTTGCTGGCAGTTTGCAAAAATAGCTATCGTTTGTTCTAAATTGATAGAAGTTCTGTCTTTCGTTTAAGAGTATTTCATAAATGCTTTCAGAGCTATTATTCAGACTGGCTAAACACCCTCTTTTTCTGGAGATATGAATTAAATAAGGAACAAAGCTGATAGAAGGCATAAATGCATCTCCATCCCATTGACTGGTGAATGGGAGAGGACAGAGATTTCAATTCTATCAAAGTTAATGGAATGTTGTTTTCACGTCAACACATAGGATTTCATATTCTTCTTAATATACAATGCCATATCCGTCTACTTTCAGTGCTCATGTTACCACAGGGTGTTGTATTATGATTTGTCCTTTCAAGTCAGTCTATTCCTTAATCATTTTTGTAGGCCTTCTGGCTCTCATAGGGACTTACTGATAGAATTACATCACTTATTTGCACTTAAATCCTACTATGTAAAAGCAGACATTGGGATTTCAGTTATCATAAGATCTACATTTATCTCCTTTCTGGTTTTACCTTCTTATTTCACAGAAAGAAGCTAACCTATTATCTGGTTTTATATGGCAGTTAGGTTTCTAATGCCTTTGCAGTTCAGTGTGCAACAACCTCAGGAGGTTCTTTTCCATTTCCTAACTATGGCACTGGGAGGTTGATTTGTCAAGAATTCAAAAGGTGCCACAGTTTTTGAGCACCTGAGCCATAATTTAAGTACTGCAGCCTGGGTCTGGTGTTGTGTTCCTAAGGATCCCATTATTCCGTTGAGAGTATAGGTGAGCTCAAATGGGGTTGACAAAACTGGCCTTTCTCAAAAGCTTCTGGCAATTTCACTACATTAACATTTTACTGTTTCCTAATTCCTAGAGATTTTTACTGAGATCACTTTACTGATAATCAAATAGAGTATTCCCAGCTTCTTTTCACAAATTTATAATGTCTCTTTTTGATAGCATTCAGGCCCAGGTTATTTACCACACAACAAGCTAAAGCAAATAGCGAGTAGGAGAGTGTATGGCGGTGCAATTTGGGTGGGTAATTTTCTTAGAATTCGGGAGGAAGCTGCACACAGGACTGAATTCATTATTTGATACTGAGCAGAGTGCGAGGGGTGAGATGTGATAATTAGATGAGAAGGGTGAGGGTTGTCCTGGCAGAAGGATAGCATCGATGTAATTAAGCAATATGAACATAGGTGACTTAGAATGAGGAAAAAGAGCAACAATAATAACACAAGAAAACAGACTGGAGCACAGAGAGTAGGAGCTGACTCAGGCAAGACAGTTGATGGGCTCATTGCACATAGTCTGAAATGCTGTGCTAAGTTGAAAATTGCATTTTCTGTGGAGTAACATGGACATTTTATACCTGGGAATTACAGGACCAGATATGGATTTTAGAAAGCTTAGTTAACTGCACAGCTTGGAGTCTTAAGGTCCAGTGATGAGAATGGCCATTAAGATTTGCAAAAGAAAGGACTCTAACTATGCTATTGGAGATGACACTAAGAGTCAAAGATGTCAAGAGTCAAGAGTCTAGAAGAACCAAAAGAAAAAAGACTGGAGAAGAAAGAGGGGGGAGGTAGGGCCATGGGGAGGAGGAGGAGGTAGATGAATGGATGTTTGCAATTTAGAGATTAAAATGCTGTAATACACACATATACACATTGGGGGGGAAGAGAGAGAGAGAGAGACAGAGAGAGAGAGACAGAGACAGATAGAGACAGACAGAGAGAGAGACAGAGACAGAGACAGAGACAGAGACAGAGAGACAGACAGAGACAGAGATAAAAACAAGGATCATTGACATCATTTTGAGAATGCATTTGGAAAAATGTCTAAATTACCATAGATTTAAAAATAGAGATTAAAAGAAATCAAAAATGCTGCAGAAATACTCTGTAAAGAAGGAACAGAGTACAATTTCCCAAAACACAGATAGATTCATAAATAGAAGATATAAAGAGACTAGAGGATAGGTTTGATAGATAAGATCTTATAACTGAAGATTTATCAACGAAAATGACATGGCAGAGAAAAATATGTTTTATGCTAAGGAATATTAGTACATTAATGAGAAAATATAATCTAAAAATAAGTAAAATAAAGCTCAATAAAGTAGGATAATTATTATTTTGTTTTACATATAGGAAAATCAAGGCTCTGCAAAGTATAGCTGATAGAGATGTGGTTCTCAAGCTCCAATCTCTTTCTTGTATTCATCATATAGAACTTGAGAGGGCTTTCCTTCATGCCACTCTGTGATATAACCAAATACTTACTGATACAATGAGAGAAGAGTTATTTGTTGTCCTATAATATAAACTAGACTTCATAAGACATGAACATAAAGCAATTTTATTTTCTTGCCTATCCCTTGAAACTAGCTATGTAATATTGCATAATTATATAAATGACCATCTAAAGCCAGCAAGAAAATTCAGAACTTTCTGTTCATTAGAAGTCTCTTCAAAGAATTATTTCAAATGGTCAATAAGCACAGGAAAAAAATGTTTAGTGTCTTCGGCTGTTAGAGAAATGTAAGTAAAACAGCACAGGTTTCATTTTACTGCAGAAAGAATGGTTATTATCAAGAACTAAAAGAACAACAAATGCTGGCAGGACTACAGGGTGGAGAGAGGAATCCTTCTACATATCTGGTAGGAATATAAAGAGTACAACCACTACGGAACGCAGTGTGGAGATTGCTCAAAAAAGTAAAAGTACAAGTTCTATTTGGCTTGGTTATTTCCCTTCCAGATATCTTCCTGAGAGAGTTAAAAGACATCTCATCACATACACATATTTATAGCAGCACAAATCATAACATTTAAATCTTGAAAGTGGCCTACATAGCCAGCAACAGATGCATGGATTAAAAAAGAAGAAGAAGCTACTGCATTCATGCACAACAGTACTACTCTACCATAAAGAAGAATCCATTTGAGTCACTTTTAGGAAGAAGGATGGACCTTGAGACTATAAAGCTAAGGATAATAAATCAGACACAAAGATTAAATACTGAATGATTTCTCTAGAGAAACGAGGGTGTAAGTAACTTGAAGAACAAAATAAAATATGCTGATGGAAAACAGGAAGAAAGACCTTTTCCAAATGGGAAGGGGATCTAGAGATGGAGGAAAAGGGAAGGATGGAGAGGAGAAAGAATGTAAAGAAAGTTAAAAAAAATTAAAATGTGTTATATACATCTACTAACTCCCCACAATATAGTCATTATATATAGAAAACATACACTAATATAATTCTCTTAAAAATAGTAAAAGTACTTCAGTCCTCCTGTAGACTTACCTTTGGGAGAAGGCCGTGGTGTACAGTTTGTCTCCTACATCTTTTGTTTCTGGATCTTTCAGAATGGGTAAATGAGAGTAGCACACCGAGGTTGAGGATGTCAACGTTTCTAAGAGACTTAGGGGCTGTAACTGGGGGCTATCCCTGCATCTTCTGCCTCATTCCACAGAAACTCTTCCATGGATTTCTTAGAAATCTCTGTTTCTATACGGGCCTTTGGTAATGTCTCCTTTCAGCTACATTTTGGCAGCTTTCAGCAGCACAATCACTGCGAGCTTCTGCACCTGGAAATCTGCCCATGTGCTTATTTTGAAGTACTTTTCTTCCACCTGGCAGAGAGCCTTCTCGGGTGGGATCATGTCAAGACATCTTTGCCCTCCATTAGCTCACTGATAAAGTTCACACCGGCTCCTGATAGGCACTCTTCATCACCAACAGACACACCAGCTAGGAAATTAGCTGCCTGTTGCCGTGTGCTCCAAGTCAGGGCCATGTCAAGCCATGAGGTGTTCTCATGACGTCTGCGAGCACCTTGAGACACCACTC